AAACAACTTAGGCAATACCATTCAGGACATAGGCATGGACAAAGACTTTATGACTAAAACACCAAAAGCAATGGCAACAAAAGTCAAAACTGACAAATGGGATCTAATTAAACTAAAAAGCTTCTGTACAGAAACAAACAAACAAACAAACAACAACAACAAAAACCCAAAAAACAACCAACCAAACAAAAAACAACCAAAACAAAACAAAAAAAACAAAAAAACCTCCCCAAACAAAAAACTATCATCACAGTGAACAGGCTACCTACAGAATGGGAGAAAATTTTTTTGCAATGTATCCACCTGACAAAGGGCTAATATCCAGAATCTACAAGCAACCTAAATAAATTTACAAGAAAAAACAATCCTATTGAAAAGTGGGCAAAGGATATGAACAGACAGTTCTAAAAAGAAGACATTTATATGGCCAAGAAACATATGAGAAAAAGCTCATCATGATTGGTCATTAGAGAAATGCAAATCAAAACCATAATGAGATACTGTATCATGCCAGTTAGAATGGTGATCATTAAAAAGTTAGGAAACAGCAGATGCTGGAGAAGATGTGGAGAAATAGAAACACTTTTACACTGTTGGTGGGAGTGTAAATTAGTTCAACCATTGTGGAAGACAGTGTAATGATTCCTCAAGGATCTAGAACTAGAAATACCATTTGATCCAGGAATCCTATTACTGGGTATATACCCAAAGGATTATAAATCATTCTACTATAAAGACACAGGCACTCATATGTTTATTGCAGCACTATTCACAATAGCAAAGACTTGGATCCAACTCAAATGCCCATCAGTGTTATACTGGATAAAGAAAATGTGGCACATATACACCATAGAATACTAAGCAGCCATAAAAAAGGATGAGTGCATGTCCTTTGCAGGGACATGGATGAAGCTGGAAGCCATAATTCTCAGAAAAGTAACACAGGAACAGAAAACCAAACACTGCATGTTATCACTCATAAGTGGGAGTTGGACAATGAGAACATATGGTCACAGGGAGGGGAACATCACACATGGGCCTGTCAGGGGGTCGGGGGGCAAGGTGAGGGATAACATTAGAGAAATACCTAATGTAGACGATGAGTTGATGGGTGCAGCAAACCACCGTGGCACATGTATTTCTGTGTAACAAACCTGTACATTCCGCACATGTATCCCAGAATTTTAAGCATATATATATATATATATATATATATATATGAAGGTAAATAAATCATGGAGATTGATATCTAATACTCAAGATCTGCAAAGGAATTTTGGGGTGGATTTATTCATCACTGTCTCATGTGTGTAATCTGCCTTCACAAATGTCTACTGAGAAGCATGTAGGTTGACAATGAACTTGATATTGAGAGAGAGAGACAAGAAAATCTTGGGGAGTTTAATTATTGACGTTACTTTCGCTTTTCTATTTCAAAAAATAGAAAGATAAAAGACTGGCATTTGGTATATCGGCACACTTAATCTGGTGGTTAAAAATGAAAATAAAAAGTCGTATTTTGTTCCCCCCCAAAAAAAATATATATAAATACAAAAAATTTTATGAATTCCCTCAATTATATTTTTTTGGACAATTTAAATACTCATTCCACTTTAGCCAATATTATGTTCTTGAAGAAAAATAGGTGAAGGGAAAAATAGATCCAGCTTTTACTTCTTATTTATCACTCCTACCCCTCACTTCGTAAGCACTCATGTCTATTATGTACTTGTTAGGCTGAATAGCAAGAAAATAATACTGCTGCTAATCAATTAGGAAGAGAAGGCCCTGTCAAAATAAAATAGCTAAGTGTTACGATCATAGAAGAATTAATTTATTGTGACAGGACAATGAGAACCAAGCAAAATGTTAGATTGGCTCTAAATTTTAAATTCAATTTTAGAGAAGAAAAGCTAAACCACTCTGCAAAATTATGGGAAACATAGAAGGATTTAGTGCCACAGATTTATTTTCATTTCTTTCTAACAACAAAGACAAGGTAAGGAAACAAGATGAGGCAGAAATTCTCATTTCACAGACTTGATGATTAAATTTCTCACAGAACTGAAGAATATATATACATTTTTCTAGAATGTATTATAATTAAAGTACTGTAAATGAAAACACTGTTCCAAGAAATCATGTCAATTAGTTTGAACTGTGTGACTGAAACTGCTAAGTATTAGTTTATTTTCCTTTTCTTACTAATAAATGAAGCCTCCCTCCTCCTTTTCTTTTTTTGACAAGGTGTGGCTCTATCTCCCAGGCTGGAGTGTAGTGGCATGATCTCCGCTCATGGCAACCTCCATCTCCCAGGCTCAAACAATCCTCCCACTTCAGCCTCCCAGAGAGCTGGGACTATAGGCACACACCACCACACCTAGCTAATTTTTGTATTTTTTGTAGATATGGGGTTTTACCATGTTTCTCAGGCTGATCTCGAACTCATGAGCTCAAGGGATCTGCACACCCTTGGCTTCCAAATTGCTGGAATTACAGGAATAAGCCACTATGCCTGGCAAAGCTCCTAATTTTTAGTTAAGTATAAAGTCATTAAGAATAGAGACTGTGATACCCAGATTTCTTTGCATCAAATTTGGGGATGGACCAAGTTTTGGCTAATGAGATGTAAGCAGAAGTAGTGTGTGTACTTCTGAGTCATATCTTTAATGGAAAGAAGCACTCCTTTATGTACCTTTTCCACCTCCAAGTCCGGAATACAAAAGCAATGGCTGGAGCTTCAGCAGCCATTTTGAGTCATGTTATGGTCTTGAAAATGGCAGCCACAGAGGATGAAGCAACAAGAGAGGAGTCTTGGTCCTTGTCTCTGGGAAATCACCTCCAGCTCTTTGCTAACTATCTCCAGAATTTTGAAATAAAAAGAGAAATAGACCTCTATCTTATTTAACCCATTGTCATTTTTCTTTTTCTGTCACTTGTAGGTAAGTCTAATTCTAACTAATACAGACTGACAAAGTTGTGTGTCAAAGCAAATTCTATGAGGACTGTATAGATTATTGGTTTCTTCAAACTGTTTCTTACTAGCTCTGAAGAGGAAGGGGAAAAGATGCCTTACATGGAAAATGTTCAATGTTTGTAGTCAATCAAAGAAATAAGAACAAAACTCTGAGTTAAGAATTGACACTGTTCAAATCCCAGTTAGGTGGACTTTCAACTTTGGAATCTTTTTTCCTGTCTCCCTATCCATTCCTTTTCTTTCTCTTTCTCTTCCTTGCCTTCTCTCCATTCCCCTCTCCCTTTCTTTCTACCTTCTATTCTTTTCTTTTTTTACTTAACTTAGATCTCAAGTTCCAGCTAAAGCATATTTTAGATTCTTCAAATATTTCAATTTTAAAAAATGTTTAGCATTTAACATGATTCTTACCCTTTATATGTATGCGAGTTCAAGCAAGATGATCATTTTTTGCCTGCTACCAAATTTTTCTACAAATACCAATATTTAAAAAGCTATATCCACCTTCAATAGTTGGTATTTTTCTTTTTAATCTTCGATAAGAAACTGAGATTTTTTTCAGATGAAAAAGATGTTACCCACAACTTTTGAATTTTTTGATAATTCAATTTTTTGAGAATTCTTTATTGATAAATACATTTTTTAAAAATTAAAATATACCTGCTTCTTTTCTTTCTCTCTCTCTCTCTCTCTCTCTCTTTTTTAGAGACAGGCTCTTGCTCTGCTGCCCAGGCTGGAGTGCAGTAGTGCACTCACTGGAGCCTCTAATTCCTGGGCTCAAGTAATCTTCTCTCAACCCTCCAAGTGGCTGGGACATAGGTACATGCCACCACACTTGGCTAATTTAAAGTGTTTTTTTTTGTTGTTGTTGTTTGTTTTTCATTTTGTAGAGATAGAGTATCACTATGTCATCCAAGCTGTTCTTGAACTCCTGGCCTCAAGTGATCCTCTCACCTCAACTTCCAAAGCTTTGGGATTACAGGCATGAGCCACTGTGTCTGGTCGTCTGTTCCCTTTCTAAATTGTTCACTATGCTTCATAGTGAACAATTTAGAAAGGGAACAGACGACCAGGCACGGTGTCAGTTCACTTTTGGGCATAGTATCTTTGAATTGTGGGTTCATTTATCACAAATACTTCAGCACGGTTCTTAGACACTTCAACAGACTTTCTATCAAACAAAGGTTATGAATAACTTTTAAATTAGAAGGAAATAAAAACCCAGGCATTCAAGGTGTTATAGTTTTAAACAATCAATTATTTATATTTTTCTACTTAATTCAGCCATACTTTGAAAGAAAGTATCTTAGGCAAAAATGTCAAGTTAGAACATTTGCATTCTAATCAACTATAAAATTTATCCGAGTTACATATTGAAGAAACTCAGAAAAAATAAGTTAGTATTTGCTTAAAAAAATTAGCCAGGATAGTCCATATTTGAAGACCCCATTTATTTTTAAATTAGGGATGAAATGAAGATCTGTTCATTCTTGGCAAGATTCCTTTTAATTTGCTAAGACTGAAAAGAGAAATTTTGGTTTTTACTTCTCAATTTAGCAAAGAGTCATGATGGTTTTCATCAGATTTGCAATGTACATTTTAGCTGGTTTTAATGAAGACAAATTCTTCTCAATCAGGAGTTTCCTATTCATTAAGTGAGACAGACGGCAGCTTTGCCGTATATTGTTAGAGCCAACCTCTTGAAGCTGGTTGCCTCCCTTATTCAGATCTATAGGAATAGTATGGTTTTATTTTTCTGAAGGAAAAAATCAAAGAAGTCAGTATTTTGCTAGGGCAAAGTGCCAAGTTGTCTTCAAACAAATGAGCCAACCAACTCCCAGATTTGAAATGGTAAGAACGTGTGTTTTCATTTGAGGGACACATACCCTCACATTATGTGGCAGGTGGAAGGCCAAGATACTTGGGGGCATACACATTTAGAGATTTTCCCAAGAGACGTCTGAGATTTCTCAGATGTGTGCTGTTCCACACCCCAAGACATTTTGTGTCCTTTGGTAATTTTCTAACCCTCCTTGTAACTCCCCTGCTTAGATATTGCTGGCTTTGAAACATGACCAGAAGCTCAAATAAAGAAAAGCCAAGCTGGAAAGCATCCCAGTTTCCTGCAGTGCTGCACAAGGTCAGCAGAAGACACTTGAGAAAGTGCATCATTCACACAAGATAGAAGGCATGGCCTGCGGAAGGGCTGGCCAAAGTTTACAAGACTCAGTGCTAACGTGGCTGCAAGAGGAAAAACACTGGCTTTAAATGTTCACCTCTCCATTCCAGTCAGCACTAGATGCTAAAGAGCAGTGGATGTCCTATCTTCAGTTTTGCCAGGGCCACTTCTGAGGAGAGCTCTTGAATCTAGAGCTGCATCATCTCTTAAGATAGTGAAGATTCTGGCCAATGAGTACAGGCTAAGGGATGCATTCATTTTCCCTTACTCTTACCAGACACACAATTGCATCTGGGAGAAGCTGAGGTTTGGTAAGAACATACAGTGCATGTAGTGACCATGTCTTTGCTGAAAACCCTACTGGATATGCACAATGCAGAGTGCATTCCCTAAGACTGGAGGCAAAAGCAAGAACTGCAAGCATTCATTTCCATGGAGCAATAACTGGGATAGTACTGCACTGGAGTTACCCAGATTAACGGGTAACTGCTGAGTATTACTGTACAACTCTGCACTTCTTTTTTTCCTTTTGTCTTACAGAAGCATATCCCCCAAAGAGTAGCCCAGAAGATGAGGGGCAGGGAGAAGAAAAGAGAGAAGAGGTGGGAGATCAATCTAACTTGTTTCTAATGAGTGGCAAATTTTCCAGAACGCTAGGATTATCTTTATGGATTGCTGTGGTTGGGGACTGAAAGAGTTATAACTTCATATTTAAGTAAAGAAAGATGAAAAATGAAAACATATATACCATATCAATAGTTGCCTATATTGAATATTCATAGACAGATCACTAATGTAAGAATTTTCTCCTCAAAGCTGTTATCTGCACTTAGACAAAGTTAAGGACTCTGCAGTGTCTACTAGAAGTACGTACAAATTCATCTAAAGACAAAATAGAAACAAAGTTTAGTACGGTACTGTTTTGTGAAATGTTAACCATGTTTTTTTTGTGTGTGTATGTGTGAGGGTAATTAAGTGACAGCTTAAAAATATGTCAATACTTCTTTTATCCTTCTGTTTTACTGATTCTCTACAGTTTTGATGTTTTATCAGCTTTTTCAATAATCATAACAATACTAACAATAATTATTAGCATTATGAAATTTGAATAAAAGTTATTTTTAAATAAAGCACTTTTTAGTTTATTTCAAATTATTTAAACTTGGGCAACATTTTTCCCAGCTGCTTTTTAGGAAACAGAAGAGTTAGTTGTTTCCGTGGGCTCTTCACAGTGCTTGAGTGGAAAGCAGGAGCTGCAGACAGGGTACAGAGGAGTGATTTGACTTTATTAATAATAATCACCTCCTTTGATTGTGGAGTGCTTCACTATGTGCTGAAATTTTTATTTACATTTTCTGTTAAATTCTCACCTGACCTTTGGGAGGTAGGGATCATAGTTCCACTTCATAGATTAGGAAAACTCCAGTGCAGAGATGTCAAACACTGTCCAAGAACACAGTGATGGATGGCACCGAAACCCCAACTTTGGCTCCCGTGTTCTCTGTCCATTGGCCATGGCTTTTGCTCCTGTGTACAGATATAGGCGCTGGACAAGTTCACCAAATCCCCTAGGCTTCAGCCCCCTCATCTGCAGAATGGTGGCTTGGATTCTACCATCTTCAAGGGCCCTGCCAGCTTTTCTTCATTTTGAATTTGGATTTATTAAGTAGAATGAGTGACAGGAGTTTGTGGGTACTAACAGATTAAAGGGATATAATCTGGAGGCTAAGGAGTAAATTAGGCCTCCAAATGGCTCACTGTGGTTGTCATGAGCTTGGAGGAATGAAGGCAAACTTTGCCACATTAAGCTCTGATTTTTAAAAGAGTCTCATGAAACCTATAGCCTCCAAAAGAAGAACAAGAAAAAAAAGACTTTTACACACATACAAACATTTGTAACAGTTTCAGATGGTTTATAGACTGACTTCTTATAGATGCACGGACTGAGTTAATAACCACGTATACACAACTTTCTGGCCCATAGGGAGCTTCACTGTGGTTGTTACACAAAGTGAGCAAAACTTATTTTCATTTAAAAAGTGGTGATTGAGAAGTGTGAGCAAAAGCGATGTGAAAAGAGTATATATTGTATATTGAGAACAGACAAAATTATCAGTGATGATGAAAATTAGCACAGTGGTTGTCTATAAGAATGTAGGCATTGCCTGAAAGAGGGCATAAGGGAATTTTCTAAACTGACAGAAATGTTCTGCATTTTGATTGAGGCTTTGGTTACATGAGTGTGTAATCAAAGCTAATCAAATTGTACCATCAATATTTGTGAATTTTACCATATGTATATAAATTTTATGCCAATTAAAAAAACACAACTGTGATGCATTTTCAAGATAGTCCTTCCTATATCATTTTCTTGGTTATTGGGCTGGGGTAGGAGAAAGAAAGGCTAATGTTTGCTCAAACATAAATGTCTCCTTTAGAAGTATTGATAGAGCATGCCGCAGCATTTTAATGCTTGTTTTGAATATCCCAAGAGCAAAGTTCTTGACTGGAGGTCTATGGTTGTGATTTCTGTTCCACAAGCCCATGAGCTGTATGTTTAGGTCTGACACCAGTGTCAGGAGTGGAATAATGAGTAGAAAATATGAACCTCAGAGACAACCACATTCCCTCCAAAGGAGAAAGGGGTTCTATTAATCCTGCTTTTCCATGTGCCCACAATATGCATGTATATGTATGTGTGTATACATATATATTGTTTTTCAGAATATAGGAAGAACAAGATATGCAAGAATTTGAAAATTTAGATTGCTGTAATATTGTTCTGGGTTTTAAGAAGTGAAGAGCAAAGGAGGACTTCATGTTTTGGTGTGTGGTGTTAAAAAAATGATCAATATTCAATCTGAAAGCTAGATCCATTACTTGTACCCATTTATCAGTTGTTACAGGGTCTACCTTGGTGGCTGATAACCACAGGTAATGTCTGCTAAAACAAATTCATCAGGCCTAGAATAACTTCAACAGCCAGCAGTGCTGATTTAACATCTCCATGACACACACTGAGATTTCTCTTAGAATTGACTGTAGAAAGAAGATTTTCAGAAATTTGCTTTTTCATTTTGCATGCCTCATATTAAATATTGCTAAAAATTTAAAACCAAATTGTTTTTACTTTTTCTTTTCTTTTTTTTTTTTTTTTTTGCAATTTGCAAGTGTTCATATAAGAAGAAAATGACTAAAAAAATACCCACCCAAGTACCTAAAACTCATCTAGAGAACAATGCTAATAATACAAAGGCTATGACCGAAGAACTCCATGATTCGTGGGAAAGCTGGGAAGCACAGTTCAGCCTGTGGAAGGAACGTGAGGCAGGTTGGATCCACCGAGGCTCGCAGTCAGTCAGTGGTGCTTTGCTCCCTAAGTCAAGTTCAGCAGCCGCATTTCTGGTTCAATGTCATTACTTATTTCGACCTAAAACAGAAAATACGAATGGCTTTCAAGAACTTGAAAGTTGACAATGAAATAACTTTTATATTCATCCAGGCCTTTTGAAATGCAGAACAGGTCCTGGGTGCACCTGGTGCTGTCTGACTGTAACAATAAGAAAGTTAGAGACTTGGGCCCTCCCGCTTTTCAGATTAGGGCGTGGTAACTGGGCATCATCATCAGAGTGCAGAATGATTTTCTAAGAGAAGTGCCAACCACACAGCAATTGTGGTGTGATGTGGCATTGTCGCCATTGCTTTCCTTAAGGGTAAAGATAGCAGGGTAGTGTTGTGTCCCCAAACGACTAGATATTTGCATACCCTGTTCTTTCTACAGCATGCTGGTGGTGAAGTGCTCAAGATCATCCTACCCTTGCTTTCATAGCACTCAACCATTGACCTATGTCCCTTACACACACCCCGTCCTGCGATGACTACTTTTATGTGTCAGCTTGGCCAGGCCATGGTGTTCAGATGTCTGGTAAAACTTCAGTTTAACTCTCACTGTAAAGATGGTTTTTTCAAATTATTATTAAAAAAAGAGATTAGGGTGGATGACTGGCCACCGACTGGCCACCGGTCACAGCAAATCCTCTTGCATGCTGCCATTTGCACTCTTGGTGGCATCGTTCCTTCCTAACAAAGACAAAGGTGCACAAACTGGCTACTACAGTGGTAAGTCTGAACTGCATAAGCCATATAAACACAGCCATTTCACTGCTACATGGCTAAATAACTACACATCAGGATGTGTTCTTACAGTAGTCCCTGACATGGTATACCATTGTTATGATGCATCAAAAAGTTATTACTGTCAGTGACAAAAGGAAAGAGGTCCAAATTTAGAAGAATAATGAGCCCTAAATGTCACTGCATTTGTGCTAAGGCAGGCACACAGGGAAGCCCGTCTTTCCTTCGGGACAACTAAGAAGGTGTTCAGTGCATTACAGATGTAGTGCTCTTGAAACAGCACAGGAGAGTTAATGCCTCTGTTAAGTCCCTTCCTTTCCAGGGACTGATGGTGAGCCTCAGGGAATAGGCCTCCATGCTCAGTAGTGGGAACAGTGAGACAGCCATTGATATGGGTGGATCACAGTCACGTTACTCTGCATGCCACAGGGGACAGACAGCATGCAGAATTTTGCATAGCTCAGTGTTGCACTCTGTCTGGATAAATATAAGATGTGAAGGCTAATCAAGGACAAATGAAAAGAGTATCGAGAGAGAGTTATCATTCTGTTTCTCTTCAGGTGCCTCCAGCTGCAGTTTACTAGCACATGGCTGGTGACTGTTGGTTTTTAAACCGAGGTTTGAAAGCACATCACTCTACCTTCCCAACTCCTACACACACACACACAAGCACACACACACCCTGCTTTGTCCTATTAGCTGGTGCTTAATCTACATGCTATAAATGCAAAATGGCCTGATCCCAACTTACATATGGGGGAAGTAATACAGAACAGCTGTTCTCAGGAAAGAGCAGAGAGAGTTGACCATCTCTGCAACTGTCCTCCAGCCTGATCATCAGAGGTGGTTTTCCTGTGTACCTGGACTGTCAGAGGCAGAGAACAGGCAGTCAAAGTACCTGTGGAGCTGGCTGCAGGGCTACCCTGAAATAGGGATTAGCCTTTGCTGTGTCTAGTACTTAGCTGCAATAGCAGCCCCTCAATTCACAGTGGCCACACAGCATGTAGCAATTTCTGTGAAGAAAAATTAGCCTCCAGCAAAGGCAATCAGACAAGTTAAGATACCAAAGAAAAATCAGGTTCTCATTTGGAAGCCTTAGAAAAAGATTTGCTGAAAGTTATGGAGGAATCTCAGGTCAGCTCTCCTCAAGTCTTTCTTAACTGCAGTCATCGGCATCATCCTCATGGAAATTTCTGACATAATCAGATCCAGCTCTACCTTTGTTGCAGAAGTTGGTTCTGGAATTCCAGCTGCTGTCCTTCTTTGATAAACTGCCTTGCTCTAATTATTTTTATGTGAAGAATTACTGCTACATGGAGCTTAATCTTCCTGGTATCCAGTTGCTAACCATTTGGATGGAAATATACAAGTCATGATTTTGACAAACTTCAATTTAGTTGCTCTCTATGATGTTTCTCTGAAATTCCATATCACTTCGATAGTTGCATATGTTTGTGCCATGCTATTTTTGGTCCAGAGGGGTAAATCTGCTTTTGTTAACCCTCTTCTCTTGGTGTTTCTGCTGCCCCTACTATAAGCTGATGTGCAGGTGTCCTCTTCAAAGCCACTGCTGACCACTGGGCTCTGCATTCTTATGATAAGAGCAGTCTTTCTGTCCTTTCATGGGAGGTGCTGTCAGTGAGTGGGGGCAGTGATGGAGTGAAGACTCCATGGCAGTTACAGTGAGAGTTCCACTGTTCCCACTGGTAGCTGTGTGAGCCCCTGCACAAATTACCCCTGTCCTATGTGTCACATGTCCCCAAGCCAGACCCAGATAACCACCACTGAAAGCATCTCAATAGCTTTAGACATAATGGTGGAGCCATGGCTGCTGAAGGTCTCTTAGTGTCTTCACCAGGAGCTGTCGACTCCTGCTCTGCTTACGCCTCTGCTTCCTAGCCGTTCACTCCCTTTATTCAAGAACTATGGCAAACACCAGATTAGAGAGTCATGAGCTTCAACTTTGTCTTCTGTAGAATGGCCAAGCGAATCAGCCTCCATGCTGGGGATACCTGGTTTCTTCTGCTGCTTTTTTCCCCCATTAAAGTCTTAAATTTTTAAGAGCAGTTTTAGGTTCACAGCAAAATTGAGAGGAAGGTACAGAGATTTTCCATATACTCCCTGCCCCTGCCCCTGCCCTTGCACAGCCTCTTCAATTATCAGCATACCCCACCAGTGTGTTTCATGTATTACAACTGATGAACCTACGTGGATATAGTCACTCGAAGACCATCACTTACATAAGGATTCGCTCTTGGTGTTGTACATTCTATGAGTTGGGATAAATGTATGCTGAAATGTGTCCATTATTCCAGTGTCATACAGAGAAGTTCTATTGTTCTAAATATCCTCTGTGCTCTTCCTATTCATGTCTCCCCTCCCCCAACTCTTGATCTATTTACTGTATCCATAGTTTTGCCTTTTTCAAAATGCCACGTAGTTGGAATTATATAGTATGTAGCTTTTTCAGTCTGACTTCTTTACTTAATAACATGCATTTAAATCTCCATTCTTTTCATCATGCGATAGCTCATTTCTTTTTAGCACCAAATTATCCATGGTATAGATGTCCCAGAGTTCATCCATTCAGCTACGGTGGATATCTTAGTTCTTTGTTAAGTTTTTGCAATTATGAATAAAGCTGCTATAAATATCTGTGTGTAGATTTTTGTGTGAGCCAAAGAGCTCACTATTTTGTAAATACCAAGGAGCTCGATTGCTAGATCTTATGGTAAAAGTAAGCCTAGTTTTGTAAGAAACTGCCAAAGTATCTTCCAATGTAGTTATATTTATTCTACTTTTGATAAATATTGTGCCATCTTTTCAGAGTAGCTCAACTGTTATTTCCCAGGGAAGCCTTTCCTCACCAAGCAAGAATTAACCATTCCCCCTCCTGCATAAAATTTCCTTGGGATATTGTTTTGCTTCTACCCTTTCTTTGTAGATCTCTCCTCCTAGATCATTGGCTGCTGAAGGTCAAAACTCAAGTGCTATTTATCTTTATATCTCTAGCACTCAGGATGTGCCCGGTTTGCTCAGTGTAGGCAATCAATCAGTGATTGTAAAGTGAACTGAACTGATTGATGTAATCAGTGGGCATTGACAGCTTGATATCATTACTTTAAAAAGAAACAAACAAAACATGAAAGACCAAATCCATATGTGAACCACCTTACCCCTATCTCAACCCCACTTCCTGTATACACATCCACATACAATTTGACTGTGGGCAGTTTGAAAGGTGCACGTTGTGATTATGAGCAGTGACACTCTCAAACATGAGCATTAAGGCTTCCTGTACAATTCTGCAGTATTACCTAGAATAGGCTGTTGGCTGGAAACTATCCATATGGAGTTCAAAGCTACCTGTTCACATAAATGTGCTTGAGAATATGCTAAGGATTCTTCTGATTCCCTTAATAAAGTGGCTTCCTCACAAAACCTGACTTTGTACTTCACGGAGATAAAAGAGGCTTAATGAAAGTCAAAGCAAGCTTTCATTCCCCTCTCTAGCAATTTCACACAGAAGGTTGGAAACTTCTCACTACCCAGCAACAGCTTTTTCTCCCAGCTGTTGCTGGGTAGTGATATGGCATCATTGGGTTCAGTGGAATTTAGTATAACGGCCTTATTAAAAGAAACCAAGTAAACTGATAGAGGCAGACTGGATAAATGCTGCAGTATTTGCACACCGGTGGAGAGTACAGATACTGACCTCTTAAATTGTTTCATGCACAATGATTTCAATTCAGGCTTAGTTTGATATTTCAGATTTTTGCTTCCTTCATGGTTGAAAGGCATTCCATATTCATCTGACATGATAATATGCATAATCTGTCAAAGTAGAAACTTGTTCTATTGCTTTCTGTAGAGAATAGCTTGTAGTTTATGCTATATTCAGCTATCCACTGCTACGTCAGCAGTGAACAGGGACGCTGAGAAAACTCTTGGAGCAGAGAGTGGAGTTGATCAAAGCCTTTTAGGTGATCTTAAAAGCATGTTTCGGTGTTCTTGATTCACAGAGACAGAAGTGACTTTAGAGAACATAAGTGGAAGTCACTTGCCTCTGGGCCATGCCACAGAACACCCTTTTGAGGTACATAGGTACACGGGCATCCAGTTTTTAAAAGTGATTTAAGAAGAAAATTCTATTATCGACATTTATCAAAAGCAGTTTTTAATAACTTTCCCTAACAGAAAGCTCTCTTTTACGTTGCAGCATTTTTCATATTGCAATTTCTCTGCTGAGTTTTTTTTTTTCCACAGTGGAGATGAAAGAAACCATTCATCAACCTCTTATCACATAACAAATATATAAAGACTCTCTAAGACACCACTAGGCATTGTCTTAGTTCTTTTCTCACTTCCAATGCAGTAATCATCTTGATTATTGTCATAATCCCTGACAAGTTTCCCAAAATCTACAAATATCAACTTTTGGAGCATATCATTTGGGAGCACTCAGGGTATGAATAATGAGGCGGTGACTGCTTGGTTCTGGAATGTTATATAGGGCGAATGTTTTTTTCCAAATTGGATTTGCTTTAAGAAACCAAAATTTATTTAAACATCTATCATATGACAGGCACAAGGCTGATTTCTGTTGCCTGCGAGCGATGTTACTTTAGATCATTTTGCCAGGATAAAGTTAATTTAAGCTGGAGAGGTAGAGGAGTCAGTGTAGCCTTCTCAGAGCTTCAATCCTCACAGATGCTGAGTGTGTAGGCTGCATATTTGGGGTAGAAACACTGTGGCAAAGAGGCAACGGTTGAAGATTTTCACATGGGTTTGTTATACAAGCGACTATTTTACATAATTTCTTCTATCACCACGGAATTACAGAACACCGAGCTGAAAGAACAAAAGATCCTCTGAGCAAGTCCATCATATCAGGTTGGGTGACAGCTTGCCACCCAGGAAAGATCTCAGCTCCACAACTCAATAATAGTGGGACTTTGAGAAAGTTGCCTAAGGTTTATGAACCTCAGTTTTCTTATTTATAAAATGGGAATATTAATTAGTACATTGCAGTGTTTTCATGAAGATTAAGTGAGATAATATATGCAAAGTGGTTAGTGTATGATAGCTTTATTAATTTACACAGTTGTATATGTGATGGTTGGAATTTTCTAGGAATGGAGTCACTGTATCTATTTCATGTTTCCTAGTATTTTATTAATCAGTGACTAAGATTTCTTTCTTGTACTCAGCTGAAATCTAAGCAGTTTTAGGTGGTTTGGTTTTTGTTGAGTTCCTTCCATATCCTCTAGGAACATAGAAAACTTGTTCCTGAACTTGTTAGTCAAAGGTTTGAGTACTAGGAACAGTAATGGGCAACTTTACCTATACCATACACACATTGTCTTATTTTTCCCCCTTCGAAACCATAGTATGGTGATAGAACAAGTCTCAGGGACATTGAGGAAGGCATCTGGACCTCACATGGAGGGCCTGGATTCACTGCAGCCCTTTCTTTCCTTTTTACTTTGCTGTGCTGCCCCAGGACACATATTTAGTCTTCATTCCTGCAGGTTAAATAATCTCATTCAAAAAAAAAATTTGGTAACCAACTATTGATAAGGGCAATAAGATAAAATTATGGTATTTGAAATATAGATCATGTCACCAGCTTCAAATCCCTTTTGGAATGAATAATAATAATGACGATGTTGGGTTACATGTGAAAGTTGTGTTTTAAATGAGTGAAAAATTAAACCAATTATTATTAGTAGTAGGTTCAAATTATATCACGTTTGGTTAGTTTTGGCTGAGTTAGAATGATTAATATTTTCCATATCATCACACCTTTACTTACTGGTTTAACAGGCTTTAACTCAACATGATCCTGGTAGTAGGAGTGGGTATCAAGTCCACCTATGAAATCAACTGAAAATATAACATAGGCTAATATGAATAAGTGTGTAAAAATACAGTACTAAATGTTTAAAGTAGAATACATAAGAGCAAAGTTAATAAAAGTATCCATTCACCATAAAATGAAAAAAAAATGTTTAGTAAAAAGGATACTAAAAATATTGCCAATGAGCCAAAAGGGGGAATTTAAGAAACACAAATGGATTCCTAAGCTCTGAAAAATAAGTTGTCATTGGTTTCAGTAAGAAATGAAGTAATATTAAAAGGTATGAAAATTTAAATAATGTGTTTGTCCTTAGGCATACAGACATGCCCTTTCTCCCTATATATCGAAAGATATACTGTCTCCTCTTGTTGCCAGAATCCTTTTTTTTCCTTAAGAATATGTTTTGCATCATTAGAAAGGCATTTGAGAAGCCAGATAATCTATCTCCATGCCTCTGTCCCCAAGCCACCTCCAAGAAATAGGCATCTGCCTTTTGCAAAAGTTTCATTTCCTCCCTAATGGCAGAGTAACTGGCTGTCTGTATAGACTCCTCATCTTTGTAATATTCTTTCCAGTTTCTTTTGGTTTTACCAAAGCCTCAATCTTTTCTTCTCCCAATTCTAATGTACATGTATTATCTTTGTTTCTCCTGTTTCATAGTCCATTAAAGATACTACTTACTTTAAACCAAGATTTGGTTGTATTGCAGCACTCTAACATTAACAGACATACAGGTATGCATGGAGGAAAACTGAACTCTCAGGAGTGTGTGTGTATGTGTCTGTGTGCGCATGTGTAAATGCCAAGCAAGTTTGCTAAGTGGAGGATATGCATAGTATATTTTAGCCCACATATTTTCCCAGATACTGTAATTTTGCCTCCATATAGAGTATCTTTTTTTTGGCAAAAATTTTATAAGACAAAACCCATAAATTGTATCTATTTATGATTCTTTTTACCAAATACAGATGCTAGAAAATTTTAAGTCTTCTCAAATCAACTTCTGTTCCTTCTGGTGCAGAAAATATGGTTGTCCAACTAAAAACTGGGGCTCCATTCTAAAATGTCTTTTCTCAAGTCAAGATATCTCAAAGGGAAATCATAAAATTAAAAAATCAAAACTTGTACAACATTTTGAGTTCTCATTTCATTGTCTTCTTTTGCTTTTGTGAGGATATAGTTCAATGTTTTCTGTAAGCTTTTAATTACTGCATTTTACTAAGAGCTTTGAAAGTTTTTTGGGGGGGGCATGCTTTGGTTTGTTGAATAATCAATTTAAGTTTTTCAATTGATCTTGAATGTAATGCAGCTAAAATGTAGACGATTCATTTAGAAAAATATTCATAGCCATTGTAAGAAACTTAGGTTGATTTACAAAGCAGTTCTTTAAAAACTGAGAAACTCATAACTCAGATTGACTAAGGGAAGGAGAGAAAATGTAATGTTGAAGTTCTTTTTGTTTTCAACATCAGCCTCATCACAAAAATATTCTATTTTATTTACTCTAAATGTGTGTGTATACATGTATATATAAATTCTGAAGAGACTTAGAATTTCTGTTTTCATTGGTAAAATAGTGCAGCTTTATTAGGATGCAGTTGTAAGTTTCCTATGCATTTGAATTCCAAATACGGTTCTGCTTCACATATTTTTTTAGCTTAGTAAGAATATTTTTTGTTGTTTTTTTACCCATATGTTGTACTTCATAAAATTTGTATTGTATTATTTCCACAAAACAAATAAAGTTAGCTTTAATATTTACTTCTTAATTAGATTATAACAGGATTTAAAATAATATTAGAGTTTTACCTTGGACAGAATGAACATCTAAAAGGCTTATGCTGGACAGGCGCAATGGCTCACACCTGTAATGCTGGCACTTTGGGAGGCCAAGGTGGGCAGATCATTTGAGGTCAGGAGTTTGAGACCAGCCTGGTCAACATGGTGAAACCCTATCTCTATTAAAAACAAAACAATTAGCTGGGTGTGGTGGCACATGTTTGTAATCCCAGCTACTCGGAGGCTGAGGCAGGAGAATTACTTGAACCCGGGAGAAGGAGGCTGCAGTAAGCCGAGATCATGCCACTACACTCTAGCCTTGGGGACAGAGGGTGACTGTTTCCAAAAACAATAAAAATAAAAGAAATAAAAGATAAAATTAAAAAGAGGCTTATGTTAGGCCAGATGCAGTGGCTTATGCCTGTAATCCCAGCACTTTGGGAGGCCAAGGCAGGCAGATTGCTTGAGCTCAGGAGTTTGAGACCAGCTGGGCAACAATGGCAAAACCCCATTCCTATTAAAAAAAAATTCAAAAATTAGCTGGGTGTGGTGGCTTGTGCCTATAGTCCCAGCTACTTGGGAGGCTAAAGTAGGATGGTTTGAGCCCAGATGGCAGAGGTGGAGGTTACAGTGAGCCCAGATTGTGCCACTGTACTCCAAGCTGGGAGACAAAGCCAGATTTTGCCTTAAAAAAATTAAAAGGCTTAGGCTACTTCTATGAATTGAATTTAAAAAATTAAAATTATTTACATAAATTAATTGGTGTTCTGCTGAAAGCATCTGGTGAGCTAATATAATAACGGTATTATAAACTGGCTTATAAGACTGGTATCACTATTTTAACTCTGAGAAATTCTTCTCCTCCTAATGTGTTAGTGCATTAACCAACGCATCCAGGTGCTCTCCACTGACCCTACTATGGTGGGAAGAGTTGCTGGTCGGAGCTGTAGCTTGCAGTGCCTCTTCCACGTCCACCTGAGACTGGAAGGAGTTAGTCATCTCCACTACTCCTATCCAAGTAGGAGTGATCTTTATCAGTGATCAGGTTGCACACTGCCCTTGAAAGGAAGGTGCTAGTTATGTTGCGCCTTTTAAGTATTGGAGAAAAGAGAGTGGTATTGTTGGTTTTCTTACAGATTTAACCACACAGAAAAAAGACAATTCTAAAAAAAAAAAAAAGGATTCTGTTTGTTGCTTATGCAACTCACATGCCTTGATGAAACTATGGTAGAAATGGAAAGAATTGTCTACATGCCCATTCTAGATTTTCCTAATACAACTATTAACAATAATATTTCATTTGAAAACTAAAAAATGTAGGACAAATCCTAAACCAGATAAAATGCCAGGGCAACTTGTGTAAGCAAGGACTGTTTGAAGCAAATTAAGACGTCTGGTCCCTGCAGTCAATGGCACTATAAATCAGCTTCATCTTTTCTGTGTTTTTCCTTTTTCTTTTTTTATTGTTATTTGTTTTTAAAATTTCTTTTTAAATTGTTATTTGTTTTTTGGCTATACCTTCTCTGCATATCAGAAACTTAGCGTGATGTAAGCCTTGTAAACTCAAGAAATAAAATATCACATATAGGTAAAACAAATTATCAAGATTCTAGAACTAGATAAGACTAGAAAAAATTTAACTATTAAGAAGGGATCATTGAAAAGTAGGTAATAAAGAAACTGAAATATCAAGAATTCTTCATGGATGGGACAGAACAATGAGGCTTTTTGGTCACAGAAGTCACCAAGTCCGCAAGATGAGGATATTTTCATATTAAAAATAGTTTGTCATGCATGCATCAATACTTTCCATTTGCTAGCATGGGATGAGAGTTCAAGTAAGAGAGCAAGTTAAAGCGTACACACAGGGAGGGTTTCAAGACTCTGAAAGCTTCTTAAAATGATGTCAAGTGCTTTAAAAATGAAGAAATTTTAAAAATAGAAGACTTAACAAAAGATTTGAAAACAACTCTTTAGGAAAGAACTTTAGTTTTTAATTACGTTTGGGGAAACGCAGTCATACTACACTAATCAGAAAGTAAAGCAACACTGCATTTTAAAATTCCCTTTCTTGAAAAAGATAGGAGAAAAGAAGATGCTGAATTAAGTACTTTCTTCAGTGGAAATAAGGGGGTAAATTTCAATGAAACACGAAAAGAAATAGAAAAGGCATGGACAGGTTTTCAAAAGTATTAGAAAAGCAAGGTTGGAATAAAAACATTCAAGGAAATCTGCAGTTACAACAGCAAGAACACTATACAGGGATCTTCAGCCAAAGAGCTGGAGAAATAGAAGGAAGCATCAGGGCACAGCTTGCTGGGAGCCTGCAGGACAGTGGAACTAAGTTCTGTGTACTTTGATTATTAGGTCCTGGAAGTGAAAAATAAATTTCAGAAAAAAAATCAACATAATTAAGAGTTGGCATCAACTGTCCCGAAAAGTCAGCCACATAGAGGGCGGCTCTCTACACCCATTCTCAGAACCTGAGGTGTTACCATCAAAGATCCCCTGGGGACAGCCTGCAGCCAGGAAACCCCTTTGTTTGCAGTCCTTTCAGATCTTCTTTCTGTGCCAACCTCCAGCAGCACAACCAAGCAACTTCTTGGAAGAAATAATATTACTTGTAACAGAATATCATTGTGGTTGCTCACTCTAGCCACCACCAGGTCCTGACAAGGATTCTCACAGAACTGAAGGAATTACAGAGCTACTTTAGATTTATAGCAGCATTCTACTGTACAAATACAGACTTGTATTCTACTTGTAAAGAATACACAACCAATAGCAGCTTTTCTATACTGGATCATAAACAAAGTTTCCATTAGATAATTTAGTGCTACTGATTCAGTTCCCCACTCAGCCATGGCAAACCTGATTGACTTTATGCAGAATCAAAGGAGAACTCAAGGCAACTGTTTCTCCATCCAGTGCAGCTGTTCAGGAGACACCATGTGTAAGGCGGCTGGCTGTCAACCCAGTAGCTTCCTATGAGAAATAATTCACTACATGTCACGTGAAGTTGAAGATGTAGTCCTGCAGGGGCTCTGGGGAGAGTCACCCTCAGCTCTGAGAAATTTCCTGTGCTTCTCAGAGGCAGTCTAAGTGCTAATGTTTTTCTTCTCTTATGGAAATGGTTGGTGCTTATTGTAATCCAGAATCAATACTTGGATCCTCCTCTGTGGGCTGGAGTCTACTTTCCTATACGTTTATGCATATCTCTTTGAACTTTCAAGATTCTGCTGAGCTA